TTTTTTTTTTTTTTTTTTTTTTTTGGTTCCGGGGTTCGAACTCTGGGCCTTGTGCTTGCAAGGCAGGTGGTGGAACCACTGAGCTAAATCCCTGGCCCAGCAGCTGCTTTCTTATGTAAAAGTCCAGGAGGCAGTTCGGGGAAGATGTGGCAATTTTGGTGAGAAGGGAACTGGCTTCATCCATCTCCTGCACTCTGCCTCTGTGGACACCTTCTATTCAGTGAGCCAGGTGCCTCCTCCTGCTTTCACTTTCTACATTACAATAGGTGGAAAAGTGAAAAGGAAAGAGTCATGCCCCCTTTTGAGGGCATAGCATACATCCCATTGGCCCAGATTTAATCACCTGGCCACACTTAGCTATCCAAGAAAAAGATCTTTCTTCAATGGCCATATATTCAGCCAAAAAAATCAAGATTTAATGACTGTAGAAGAGGAGAGCAAATACAGGGTCACTCTTAGCAGTCTTTAACACACATGGCTAGATCATAGACTGTAGGAGAAGGAGAATGAGGCTAGAGAAGTAGTCAGGGACCAGACACTCAGGTCCTTTGCATCCTGTTGAGGAATTTTCAAATTGGAGTTTTAAGCCAAGTACCATGATGATTCTAGCTTCCTTGTAGAGAACAAGATGAAGAAAAAGGCTCATCAATCCAAAGAGATTAGTTAAGAGGCTATTGTTACCGTCTAGAGGTTTGGCAGCTAGGGCTAGGGAGTGAAAGATGATATGAATTAGACAACTTTGAGACCATTTCAGAATGGACAAGGTCTCACTATGTAGTTCAGGCTGGCCTTGAACTTGTGGCAGTCCTCCTGCCTCAGCCTCCCAAGTGCTGGGATTTCAGGCATATGCCACCATCCCTGGCTCAGCACAGTTCTTAAGACATGGGATGTGGATAGAGGATTAGAAGGAGAAGGAAATCAAAGATGACTCCTACATAACTGACTTGAATAGGTATATATTTCTCTGTATGCTTACATATTTAATTTACATTGTTGATTTTACATCTAAGTTCTGGAAATGTACTATTTTGATACAAGTTTAAGGGTTTTATAAAAACAAAATATCTTTGTAGTAGCAACTAAAATGATGAGTTATTTCCTTTTTTTTTTGGTACTGGGTATGGAACTCAGGAACTTGTGCTTGCCAGGCAGGTGCTGTGCTGCTGAGTTAAGTCTTTGGCCCTTCCCTTCATGTTTATGAGAGCTAGCATGGTAGAAAAGATTATTATTGATGCACGGGATTGATTATTTTAATGCCAACACTTTCCAAGTATAACATTTGTTCTTTGGTCTCGTAATTTTCATTGCTATCCTTGTCCACCTAGCTGGCTTCCTTTCACATTCTTGTGACTTCAGTGCCTTGAGGTGGTGTCATAAACAAGTTCTTGAAGTTGTACTATGGACCTAAAGTCTGAAAGCTAATCATTTTATAGTACAATACACATTTTCCTCATGGTAGGTGTGATCTAAGACAAGGACTCTCGTTTGCTCACAGGGAGTAATATTTAATACATTCCTATGTGGAAGAGAGAGTTAAAATTAAATTCTTGTCATCAGAGACTAGAGATTAGATTTTTTTGCTCTTAATATAGTGTACATCTGGAAAATCAGGAAGGCTTTAGGCAGAACAAAATGCTGAGCTCAAGGTTGATGGCAGATAACTTTGAGGTGAGAATTTAAAATGAATAGATCTTATTTCATTAATTTACTGTACTGTGAAATACATTGGGCTGTAAGCTGTGAGGTGAGGGCAGTTTTGATTCATCTGTATTCATTATCTTGCTACAGTCCTGGCTGGTGGCCAGTGCTCAGGAAGTGTTCTACCTGTAGTGCCCTCAGTGTGATTTACAAATTAAGTGTTAGTCATTGCATTGAGCATTTCACCTTCAGTCCACAGCCTTTTACTAACAAGATATTTCTTGGCATTGGAGGCAACAGTTAAATATAGTTTTTGTGAAAACTAAAAATGATTCTTAGTCACTGTAGGGTTTTAGAAGAGCTTTGGAAAAAAGCCTTAAAGTCTATCTTGATATTATCGTGTTATAAGCATTAATCAACTAATTTGGAATGGCTATCACCTCAAGAAATGTACAAATAGAATTATGTGCATTTATTCTCTACACTTCTAAGACAATGTATATGTTGTACACTATAAAGTCACAGCAG